AGACGAGCCAGTCAGGGTGCAGTGTAGCAATGATGAAACATACACCTTTCCTCTAGTTCTTGAATGCTTCCTCCGCCCCACCATCATGATCCCAATTCTACCTTACAAATCTGGCAGGACCGGAGGATGTACACTGGTACAGATAGAAAGTGGAAACACAGGGAATCCAGGACAGATGAAACCCTCAGGACTAGTGGTGTGAGTGGTGATACCGGGAAGGTGGAGTGAAGGTGAGGGATAAAGGGGTAACAGATTACAAGGATCTACATATAACCTCCTCCCTAGGGGATGGACAGCAGAGAAGTGGGTGAAGGGAGACAGTGGACAGTGCAAGATATGATAAAATAATAAGAATAATTTATAAATTATCAAGTGTTCATGGGGGACGGGGAAGCAGGGAGGGAGAGGAAACAATGAAGAGTGAATACCAGGGGCTCAAGTAGAAAGCAAATGTTTTGAGAATGATGAGGGAAACAAATGTACAAAAGTGCTTGACACAATGGATGTATGTGTGGATTATGATATGAGTTGTACAAGCCCCCAATGAAATGATTTAATATTTTTAAAAAGCTGACTTTCCACACACATTTTGCTGAAGTAAGAGAATTTTCTGGTGACCTAAAATGAGTATGTAACCTTCTGAGGCTTCTATTTTTCCATGTCAATTAGTGATTTCAAAGCCACTCTTGGGTCCTCTAAAATCATAAGTAAGTCCTGTGCCTACGAAAGACCTTTACTTATGTAAGGGGATACAATAAAATTAGTGGAAAAACACCATTATCTTTTCATTCAATTTTTCCACAATCTTTTAAAAGCCTGCTCACACTACTGTCTCCTTATTGTTAACAGCTCACATATTTATCTCTTCCACCTGCCTGTAAGCTTAAAGACATAAATACCCAAAATTCTGGGGTTTTTTTCTTCCATATTTTCCTATTCTCCTTTGTTCTAATTGCTTAGATGTGTGATAAATAAATTAATGAATACTACCAGCATGTGGTTTTCCCTTCCCAGTAACATAAAAAGTACACACAAAGATAACACTTACCCTGTTCTTTTCATTTTGAATAATTTCCAACAGCTGGTCTATATGCCCCTCATCTATGCACTTTTGGCCAGCTAACTGAAATAGACCAAAATCTTCTTCTTTAAAGTCTTCTTCTTCTAGGATTTGCTAGCAGAAACAAACACACATACACAAATAAAAATTCAGTACAATGATTACTTGATCTATCTCTGAAAAAAGAGAAATCTGTTTGAATTCTTATAAATTGCACATGTGCAGAAATTAGGATGACCATAATAAATACTTTTAATAAATGATCTTGAAATCCACTTTACCAAAGAAATCTCTGAAAAGGTAAAGTATTAAAATTTTAAAGGCTATTTGGATAAGCATGTCCCTCAGAGAAAGAATTTACTCTGCCTGCCAGCCCTGTTACACACTAGCAGCAGAAAAAAGCAAAGATTAAGGAAGATATGCATTTGAGTGACCACAAATGTAATTACAAAGGAAACAATACTTACACATCTCTTTATTATGGACTGAAGCTCTTCCACAGCCATTTCTAGTGTTTACAACTCTCCTTTCAGTGCTGAAAAGTAGCAAATACATTGTTACCTATCACTGATACTACATTGCAGTATTTGAAGGTCTATGTTCTGGTGATGCATTACTAGCAAAACCAATTTTTAAATGGCAAGTTTTAAAGCTGAAAATGTTATTAAAAGTTAATGTTTCCTCAAAAAGAATTTTTTTTAATGTCTGTGTAAGATGTTGCATACAATCACATATGTGAATGATAGTCAATTAACATGCCCCTTCTAGTCATAATTCTGGACTCTACATGCCTGTGGCCATTGTCCCCTTTTAAAGGGCATTCTCCAATGTACTCGTGGACAGGATGAGGATGGGATTAAAACCTGAACCAAGGATGTGAACCAAGCCACAACCTTTGTTTCCTTGGGGGCTTCTTTAACTCTACCTTAGTTGATGTTAGGTGTCAACCCTGAGGGATCCTATGCAAAGTAGAACGAAACACTGCCCATCCCAGTGCCATTGTCATGATTGTTTCTATGCCTGAGCCCATTGTTGCAGGCACTGTGTCAATCCATCTTGTTGAGGGCCTCCCTCTTTTTCACTGCCCCTCCACTTTACCAAGTATGATGCCTTTTTCCAGGGACTAGTTTCTCCTGACAACATGTCCAAAGTATGTGAGACAAAGTCTTGCCATCCTTGCCTCTCAGGAGCACTCTGGCTGTACTTCTTCCAAAACAGATTGGTTTGTCCTTTTAGCAGTCCATGGTACTTTCAATATTCTTCTCCAGCACCACAATTCAAATGCATCAAGTCTTCTAGTCTTCCTTATTCAATGTCCAACTTTCACAGACCTTTGAAGCAATTGAAAATACCATAGCTTGGGTCAGGGACACCTTAGTCCTCAAAGTAACATCCTTGTTCTTCAATATTCTACAGAGGTCTTGTGCAGCAGATTTACCTAATGCACTTCATCTTCTGATCTCTTTACATGAGCACTGATTTAGGATCCAAGTAAGACAGAATCCTTGCCAACTTCAACCGTATGCCCATTTATCATGTTACTATTGGTCCCGTTGTGAGGATTTTGTCTTTTTACATTGAGTTGTAACTCATACTGAAGGCAGCCTCCATATCTTCATCAGTAAGTGCTTCAAGTCTTCCTTACTTACTGAAAATCAAGCAAGGCTGTGTCATCTGCGTATTGCAGGTTTTTAAAAACCTTCCTCCAATCCGGATGCTGAATTCACCTTCATAGAAGCCAGCTTCTTTGATTATTTGCTCAGTATCCAGACTGAGTAAGTATGGTAAGAGGATGCAACTCTGATGTACACCTTTCCTGATTTTAAACCATGCAGTATTCCATTGTTCTGTTCCCTTGTTTACCTTAGTAAAGGGTGTGAATTAAGACACTCTTCTTTGTTTCCCTTGGAGATACACAGGTTTCACATCACCTCACCTGGAAAGCCACACCTCTACTTCCTGACTGAGCTTTGGTAGAAGCAAGAAGACCGGCTGTGATGTTTGGATATATTTGGCTTCTGGCTCTGGACCCTGCATTTGGCTCACCTCTGTCTGACCTATGGACTTAGACTGAACAGCACCCAACACCATGTAAGCCATTTCCTCAAAGTTGCATTTGTTTCTGTGGGACTTTGCATTGAATGCAGAAGCCAGAAGCTTGAGGGACTATATGCTCATGGAAGGAGAAGGGGGGCGGGGGAGATGGGCAGAGGGGGTGGTGAAGCAGAAAAGCATCTTAGAAAAGGTGGATATTTGGGACATTTTTAATCTCCAACTCTTCTGGACTAGTCTGGTATCAATTCTTCTAAAATAAATGACACAATATGCAATCCTGATTTATGAAGTGGATACATAGATAGCTACGTGAGCTGACCAGTAATGCGATGGCATATGTGGAATATACTCAAGAGTACCAGGGTAAGTAAAAAAGTATTGCTATAAATATCATAGAAATTTTTAATAACAAAATGTGAAGATATTCTTTCTCACTATATCCTCCATCTAGGCCTGTATATTTCTAAAGGCGATATTTCTGTCTCTGTAACCCCTCTCCCAGAAAAACTGTCTTCTTTGATTTACATCACATTAAAATGGCAGTTTGAGCATCCTCAATCAGGTTCCTTTGAGTTTGTAAAGAAAGAGAAGTCTGAAGGACTGTAAGGTAGATGGGCTAGTTTCCCAATAAAAATCTCTTGCTATCCTCAATAAATGAGCAGATACACTGTCATGATGGAAGAAGAAAGGTCCTCAGCACAACCCTCTTGGCCTTTTTTCTCCACCAGTGCAGTGTCTTAAAACTCTTTTAATTAGCCCCATGATCATCCTGTGTCCTTCAAGAAAATCTATCAAGAGGATCCCTTCAGAATGCCCCCAAAATAGTCGCCATAACCTTCTGAACTGACTCTCTGCCTTAGATTTACCCAGCCCCGTAGGTCCCTTTAGAAGCCATTGTTTTGATGGGACCTTCTGTTGAAGACACCCTAGTAAGACTAAGACAAGAGCTTTACTGAGAAAACATCCACTGATTGCAGAGACATGTTTAAACACGTTCTGTTTGGAATAAACCGCTGCATGTATGAACTGGAACCCTAGTGGCAATACTTTTGACTTACCCTCCTGTTTTGCAAAAGATATTTCTACATACATACGTCTATGTGCTACAAATAGATCCATGTATATAGTCCAGCATACAGGAGACAAAAATCAGTCATAACCAAAAAGAACTGATCAGGGCTTGGAATCATGGGGGTGGGGGTAGACCTATAGGTCAATTGGTAAAACAAGGCTTGTTTAAGTGGCTACCTAAGATGAAATTATTGAAGAAAACCAAAGGCTCAAAAGAAACAATGAGTCCAAAGGGCTCACCAACCATAGGAACAGCAGTCTCCACTAATCTGACACCAAAAGAACTAGATGGTGCCCAGCCTACCAAATAGGGCCCCTCCGATCAGGATCAAAATTAAAGAAACTAGCAAACTAACAGAAAAATGTAGACCCCCAAAATAATTATTTTTAAAACCCCAATAAGAAACAAGTGGAACTCCTGAAACTATAGCCCTTTAAAACACCTTCTAAACAACCAACAAGCCTGGTTTTGAAAGGAAGCATTATCTCTCAGGCATGGTTTCATAACAGTCAACCTATTTGAGACCATATGGGCAAACATTTGCCCAAAACAAAGTTACAGGAAGGCAGGCTGGGAGGGACAAGGAAGCAGGGTGAACAGAAACCGGGAACCCAGGAGGGGTGCGGGAGGAGCGCTGTATGTTACCTTGAGGTCACTGCATCTAAATGTCCCCCGCAAAGGCGTATACATTATTGAAGGGGAACTGAATTTGCTGTCAACTTTCACCCAACCCGCATTTTTAAAAAGTTGTTGCATCTTCTTTTCCGGCTGTATTTTAAAAGGAGCATTGTTTTAAAAATGCCCAAGTAGAAACAAACGAAAACTTTTGAAAGGCTGGGCAAATATGAAGCATTTAGAAAGGTTTTCTCCTCACGGTGAAATTTTTTTTTTTAAGTTCCCAAGAGCGAGCCTTGAAGTCAAAGTTCTAATCATTAAAGAGAATTTTCTTTTTGAATGTCCCATTTGACAAAATTGGAGCGCAGCTCGATTAACCCATCCAAAGAGAACGAAGGTCCGGATGCGCTCCCCCTCACGTATTGGAGGGCCACGGCTCTCCAGGAGTTCCAATCGCCAAAGTAATCAATGCAGTGGCGCGAATCCCTTCGGCATCTCTTCGGAAGCCGGCATTCCGGTCCCGCAGGGAAGCCCACGCCCAGGGCCCCGCAGCAGGAGCGCGGGTCCGCGCGGCGCGCCCGTGGGCACATCAAACCGCAGCGCTCGCGCGGGCGGCAGCCAGGGAAGCCATTTCGCCCGATTTCCGCTCGCCTCGGCCCTAGGCCCGCTCCACCTGGTGCGGCCTGGTCGGCCCGCAGCGCCGGGCCCTCGGCGCCACGCGACCCGCCGCGACGCGGCCGCCGGGACCCCCGAGATGTGCAGTGCGTCGTGTAGGCGCCGCGTGCCCCCAGTCCCTCCTCCGCTTCCCGGGGCCGCGCACGCCGCCCTGGCCCCGCCCCGCGCACGCCGGGGGAGGCGGGGCCTCGGGAAGCGACGCCGGCGCCGGGCCCGCCTCAGACGACGGCACGCCGATGGCCGACTCGCTCGCCCAGCCGCTGCCTGGCCGAAAGGCTGGGACTCCGGCCGCTGCCCGTAAGACCACAGGTATGAACAGGGAGGGTCTCTTGCCAGCTTCCGGGGTCTAAGACTGGAGTCGCACCAGAGTTCCACACCGGGGCGCTGAGCGCTCCCGTACGCCTGCCCGGGGAGAGGGTCTTCGGGTAGGGAGACCCAGAGCTCCCCCCCACGCACTTCCTGCGGAAGACCTCCGACTGCCCCCCGACCCTTGTACACGAGTGTTCCAAGATCTCCCTCGGCCTGGTTTGGCTCCGGCGGCAGAGGCGGGCAAGTGCCCAGGGCAGCCTCAACAGGCCGTGCGCAGCTGGTCTCGGATCACAGCCCGTCGTCTCCTCCAGACGCTCAGCTGTTTGGGTGCCCCGATTGTCAGAGGTGTAGGTCCCCTCCTTTTATCCCTTTCAGTGGGCGAACTTGAACCGGATGAGAAGATGTCGCCCCAAACCAAAACAGCACTTTGCCACTATGTGAAATCTTCATGGCAGCAGAAAGGTGCGCCTTTCGCTTATGCAGCGACTGGTGGGTTTGAACTGTTGACCTTGCAATTAGCAGCCCAGCATGTGACCTACTGTACTACCAGGACTCCAAGAAGTCAGATTTTCAGAAATGCGAAACTAAGCCACTAGTTTGTTGTTGGGTGCTCGCAGTCGCTTTCCACCCTGTGTGACAGTAGAACCGCCCCATTGGGTTTTCTCAGTCGCATCCTTTAGGGCAGATGCAGCTTGCCCAATCTTTATCTCACAGGGAGGCTGCGTGGGTTCAAACTGCTCAGGTTAGTTGCCAGCGCTTAATGGTTCTGCCACCAGGGCTCCAGCTACTCTTTTGAGAATCCCAAAATCGAGAAAAATTAATTTACAAAACCAAATTGGATTCCCTTCCAATTTCATTTTGGTTGACATGCAGGATTGAAAATGAAATGTGTGGAAAAGGGATGATCTCCAGTTTGAATAATCAGGACAGCGATCTGTCTTGTACTTAATATGTATATGCAGATGTGACCTACTGTGCATCTTTGTTTTCTTTTTCTTTTTATTGTAGGCATTAAACAGACAAGTGCCTCCAAGCAAGAAGATGTTAAGAGGTATGAAAACTACTTGGACAACTGTATTCACTTATCTCAAAAATAAATAAATGATATAACTTACTGCTATAGAGTCAATTCTGACTTACAATGACTATATAGGATGGAATAGACCCTCACCTTTACATTTCCCAGGTGGTAGATCTTTATAGTAGCAGAGAGCCTCATCTTTTTCCCAAGAAGCAACTTGTGGGTTTGAACTGCTGATAGCAGGCCACACCTAAGCCACTATACCACCAGGGCTCCTGTATTCACTTACCTAGCTCATATTAATTGAACCGCTTTTAAAAACTATAGTAGGTACTACCTTAGAGAAAATTATTGTGATAGGAAAGGTGGAAGTCTGAGAAGCTCTATGAAGCTTCACATTGACTGATCCAAACTAAACTAGGACTTAGGTTGCTGATGAAGGTATAATTAAAGAAAGATATCTGGGAGTACATACCTGAATTAACCTGGTACTCCTTTTATGTCTCTTCAGGTACACTTTATCTGTGTGTGAGAGATTTACTGGACAAGTTTCTCTCTTTGTCTTGTTAACTCCAAGTAGACGCTTCTGCTATTTGTTTGTATCAATTCCAGGTTTCCATCAAGGGATTTTCTTTTTCTGTCTCTCTTGACTTCTTAAAGGGTTTCTAGAATATGTGTAGTATAGGAACAGGATTAAAGTAATTTATGTAAAATTTTTCATGAATCTTGGATTTTAGATTGAAAAACTATCTATTGAGTGTGAGGTGTTCCAGATTAGGCCCTGAAGATAAGATGTTGAACAGAATGGACATAGTTCCTGTTCAATGGAAGAGAGAGACGCCAATGAATTTATCACAAGTAAATGTATAATTACAGGTCTGTAATAAGGCTATAAAAGAAAAGACTGGTATGGTAAAGAAGAACTAATAATAAAACTAACATTTTAGCTCAGGGCTGGTGGAGAGAATAACTTCTCTGAAGAAGTAATAGCCAAACCAAGACTGAAAGCTAAGGAGGACTTAATCAGACAAACTCAAGTTCATTGCATTAAGTCAATTCTGACTCAGAAATCTGATAGGACAAAGTAGAATTGCCCCTGTGGGTTTCTGAGACTAATTCTTTATGGAAGTAAAAAGCCTCATCTTACTCCTGCAGAGCAACTGGTGGTTTTGAATTGCTGACCTTGTGGGTAGCAGCCCGATGCTAACCCATTACACTACCAGAGTTCCGTAGACAAATTGCTAGTCATATGTGACAATATGTGTGGAGACCCTAAGACAAAGAGGTTGGCCAGTGCAAAGAAAAGAGACGTGTCTTTTGGTTTGTGGAAGCATTGTTTTTTATCCTTTGACGTGACTGAGTCAGAATCAACTTGATGGCGGTGAGTTTGGTTTTTGGACTTTGCTCAGATATAGAGATTCTCTGAGGACCAGAGAATTAAGCACAAAGTCTGATGTGTGTGGGGCCAGCAAATTCCCATCAGTCTGACTCAAGGGCCTGGCTTTTCAGTGAAAATATTGTGTCGACTCCTGCATGTCTGGTACATATCATGCCTGAGGACTGACTGGTCCTTGAAAGTGAGAGGAATTAAGGCTGAAAGTTCACATGTAAAGCCTATGATGGTGGCTTACAGAAAGGAATGGACCCACCAGTTTTTATTTAGAATTCTAATCTTACACATAATTTATGTGGCTCTTTTGGAAGGGATTAGGTTTCACTTGTGCTACTCATTATTGGTTGTTTTGCAGAATTAAATAAAAAAGAGCAAGTGAGAGAGAGGAAGAAGTGGCCATAGTGGTGTGCAGCATTCTAACTAAGCAAGGAAAAGGGTGTAGGACAAGGCTAGAGAGGCAAGGTGCTGGTCAGACAGGATCTGAAAGAATGAGTGATTAAGATTTTTTTATTCCACGTGTAAAAGAAAGAATGTTATATAAGTAGTTTTAAGAATTGAGAAATGGTGGTCACTTGGGAATGAATAAAATAGATAGATTTGAGCTCTGCTTTGTAGAGCTTTCCCCTGGGAAACAACATAGTTTTTCATGGTTTGGCTTTAGGAAATATTGCAAGAGTAAAGTTCAATTAATGCGGACAATGAGAACTTGTAACTAATTGATACTGATCTGACCACAAACGGGAGATTAAAGCTCATTTTTTTTGAAAATAGAATGGTTAAAATGTATTTTGAGCAGATCATCCATGAAGTTAAAAATCCGTAGAAGTGGCCTAATTTAATTGTAGTTGTTCAGGAGAAGCGACTCTTTGTAAATGTATTACAACTAAAAAATGAAAAGGAAGAATCTGAATGTGGCTGTTCAACAAGCCCATAGTCCCTGGGTGGCACAAATGATAAGGCTTTCTGTGAACCAAAGTGTTGGAAGTTTATACCCTCCCAAATGTCTCTTAGAAGAAAAACCTGCAATCTGATTCTTAAAAGTTCACAGTCCATGGGGTTGCCATGAGTCCGAACCAGCTCAATGGCATCTGGTTTATTTCCTGATGTCAGAATCGACACCACTTACAGTCTTGCCAAAGGGGTTAACTATGAGCCGAATCAAGCTCAGGCTCCAGCTGCAAGCATGCAAAAAATCCTACTAAATGGTGCTGTGAACATGTGATGATTATACAGGTCAGGTGTCCCCTGTTCTTCAGTGCAACGATTGTTAGGAAAGTGAAAAAGATGGAGAGAGAATCTAGATTAAAAGACTAAGACATCAAATTTAAGGAAATGACCAGAACTTAAACTTTAATGGTGAGGGATATAACGTGGTAAATACAACAAAAGTAACTCAAAAGGAGTACCGTAATAGTAAGAATTAGAATGGGCTTTACCTTTGGGAGAAGAGAAAGGTTCTGCTTTTATGTTTCATGGTGAGTGGGAACCAGCGACAGTGCTAGAGCCTCACTGATGTCAGAATAAGGACGAGCTCTTGCTGGGGAAAGTGTTCTTTTTGTAACCCATATAGTCGTAGCAGTATAT